GATCTTGATGTTTGACTTACTTTTGAAAAACTTTAACCTTTTCCATATCTATTCAATAGTTGCTGCTAGGCTTTCTAATTTTTTTGAGATATATAAATGAAAACTTTCAAGGACCCTAGATCCCTAATTTTAGGGAGCATCCCCTTTTTAGTGGTGTCAAATGAAAGCTCTTGAAATTATGCACAACTTATTCTACATGTCTTAACAAAATATTTTTAGTTTAAAAGATACAAAGGAAAATATGTCTAAATTTTTCGAGGTGACGTAAGTCAGCCTCGTAAGCTGCTGACCAGCTTCAATGGCACCCCCCTCTGATCACTACCATTTGCAATTTCTTATTTATCTTCACTCTTCGGGACAATTCACTACTTGATGTTGACACGTGGCACCTTAGAAAGCAAGGATCAAATCAGAGATAGGTTACTAATATGTAAACAATAGCACATGCAAGATTGATTGAAAATATTAAAACGTTAATTTTTATCAGTTCACTAAGAAATATAGTCCTCTGTTTATACATGCATTGAAATCAGAATTTCGGTTAAAAAACAAGATCAAAAATGTATTTAATATAATTTTCAAGCAACAAGTAGCGTTTTCATGGACTTACGAATACTAAATACAAGTTCCTCAGTGGGAATAAGATATGAAGTGTCCATACGCTCCGAACGATTTTAGCGAGGGTAAAATGTAAACAAATGGCTATGACAGAGATCATGACCTACATGTATGTGTATTGAACGTTGATGGCAAGCAAGGGAGAGAGCAGAATCGTGAAACAAAACCAGATGAAAGAAGCGTTTTGCTTACTTTGAAATATGCAGTTAAATGAATTCGGGGATCAACATAGGCGCAATAGTCGCTATTGAGCTCAAAACTTTACCGTAAATTATCACAAAAGCGAAGTTTAACATTTTCATCCCATCTGTTTTGTAAATCATTTGTAAAATCTGTTAAAAACAGGTAGTAATATTGTCACTATTTATAAATCTGTTCGGTGTTATCACTGTTGAGATAGTTGAATAACAGCAGGGCGCTTGCACCTATTTCGCTGCTAATGACCACTTCATCGAATACTCGATCGGAACTCCTCTAGAATTTACGCTTCTGCATATTAAAAAGTCCATTGTTACAAGTCATACACTACCATTCTCTATCCAGAGTTGTCTTCCGATACGCTACCAACACCTCTGTCAACGCTCATTGTTCAAGATTCTTGTACAAGTTTTAAACAGTGAAAATTTGAAATTAAAATAGTAATTTATTGTTGTAATTATCGATAAAGATGATAATTTATCATTTATTTTAAATCTATTATCCCTCGAAACGATTTATTTTCTCAGTTGTAAGGGAACTATTTTGCGGAGAAAAAAAATAAAAACTGCATTAAAAAATCCTTTTAAGGGGTAATAGATTCAAATAAATCATGTTTTCCGATAAGAAATATAATTAAAAATGATTATTAAGAGAATTTTTTATCATTTACAAATTTTCCAAGAATCTTGTTTAACAAGCGTTGACAGAGGTGTATGTGGGAGCGTAGCGGGAACGACAACTCTGGATAGAGAATGATACACAACAAGCTGGACCTCAATCGATGTCAAACCAAAGATGTTGGAGATTAATTTCGACTGTTTTTATTGTCAAAAGATGAATTCATGCTGTGAATACAGACATATATTTTAGAGTTATTAACTGTCTTTGGCGATCACACGTGAGAAAAGGCTGATTGCATGATAAAGTCGCTCAGTCGGCATGCAGTAGTAGATCTATTAGTTTTCATAATCTGGTAATTAAATTACTATTCTTTGTTTTCATTCTTTAATAAATACATTCACAAAAAAGAAATAATAATAAGGAATTTGAAAATGAACTTTGAAGAGAATGTAACAAATTTGCTACTTGATAAGGCTCTGAAAATATAGAGAAATGAAAAGAGAAAAATGTTTTAATCTTAAGTGTAAATATTATGTACCCCCCCCTCCCCCGTTTTTGTTGCTGTATGGTCGAGTACTTGCAAATTACAGGAATTTTCTGAGTTTACAAATTTGTTTTTCTGTATTTACCGGTTTAAGAAACTTGTTGATCAATTATTTTTTTAATTTTTAAAATACATGTATATTAAAGTTGCATAATTAGTCAAAACCATGTGTTTCTTTTAAGAAAATTGTATCACAAAACAAAAGATTTTTGTGAAATATGAATATAGCGAAGTTTTGACAACTTTACTGACTGTAAAGCAAGAAAAAAACTGCAAAATATAAGTGCCGAAAAAACAAATGTTGTATCTATCGCTTTGTTTTTATAGTTAATGTCAACAATGTCAAGGTCACGCGTCCTTTATTTGTAAACAACATTGAATTGGGGCAAGCAGAAGTAAGGAATAAGTTATGATCATCTTTTTTGAAGATTGTATCAAAATTCTCAGTCATCCGACATTTATATCTATGGAATTGAAACCATGGTAAATTCTTCAACGTTTCAGCGCATGCGTACAATAAAGAGGAAGAAGTGAAGCAATATTTTTGTGATGGGTTATACACATATTTTTTTTTACTTTTACTTTTCTCCATTAAATTAGATTTTTTAGGTTCTGAAACCTGTAATTTTCTGAAACCCAATATCTTCAAGAACTGAACAAAATTTGAATGTGTCATGCAAAAATTCTACTGTTGTCAATTTTCCCGTGTGTCCATCACAGTGTCACTTTAATCGTCAGTCGCGGATGGGCTTGTGGCGGAAGCATTTTTCCCATAAAGGTGTTATAAGTGAAATCTTCCTAAAAGGAGGATTAACAGCAATTAAAGCAGAATGCTGCGTTTCAAGTGCAGTCAGTGGCATTTCCATAATTTTTAAAATTGTTATTACATGTACATGTATAAGGTTTTTTGTTGTTGTTTTTTTTTGTTTTTGTTCCCTCGTTACATTTATGCAAACTATTTTGTTAGTTGTATCCATAATTTCCCTTCGATCTTGAAACCTTACAGCTATAGATTTTGAACTGCTGGACTAAATCCATCACTAAAATCATGGATCCCCTAACACACTCTCAATTTGATGTCAGATTTTAGAATGCGGTATAATTGCCTTTCTTTAAATATGACATTTTCCTACATGGCTGCTTCGGGCAGACGTTAACTGACGGACTCATAAGGTGACGATTGAAGTGATTATGATGTATTTGGATTTGGGGTAATTTAAAGTGAAAGAATTAAAATCAGTTTGGAAATTCAATTTTTGCTTTAAGAAAATAATATGAATGAAAACAATGGTTTGAATTCTATTTTTGCACTTCATTGGCATTACACATTTCTATAAGAACAATTAATGTATTTGGAGAAAATGACATTGGAAATAGTTTCAAGCAAATGCACAAAAGGGCTAATTACAATTATCGTGGGATTGATCTGGTTTCGAAAGATATGCATGTAGTAAAGCAATATATTAGGGAAAAGGGCTAGTTACATTTTGATATGACTGTCTTGAAATACGGAGAATTAGCTCTAAAATTTTGTACATTTTTGTGCTCAGAAAGAATGCATGGAACTTTAGTTATTGAAACATCATTTTCGACTAGTGTGCTACAGATCTGAGGGTATCTCAAGTCTACGATGCTTCATATGATAAAATAAAATAAATTATACCAATTTAGTTGAAAAAATGTCTAAATGGGCCTGCTTTTGGCCAAAAAAAAAAAAAAAAAAAAAAAAAAAATCACAGAGAGGGTTTTTTAATTGTATTGAATGCTAGCTGTATCAGTAATTAATGTGGCTCCGGGGCCATGCAACTTAGACGAGCTCATTTTTGGTCCCAGTCTCACTTTTACAAAAGGAATTATTGGTTGAAAAGTGAGACTGAGACTGAGGTCATCTAAGTTTATGGCCCCGGGGCCTGGAATTTCAAAGACATATGACACCCCCCCCCCCTGTTTTTTTTTTTTTTTTTTTTTTTTTACACATTCATCTGGAAAAATTCTTAATTGTTAGTATTTTTGCATTTGTTTAAGGTAACTAGTTCAGTTTTTTATAGATCAAATAAGTTACAAAGTGCATTTGTCGTATTGCTCACTTTTTGCTTTCCAATGATATTCATTTGGGGCTCTCTTGATATAAGGTTTTGTATATGCCAGTTAACTTGGGGATAGATTTCACATTTTACTGGAAGACGTCATCTCGATTCAGTACTTTGATTTCTCTTTTAGACGTCCTAAGTTTTGATCCCCCTCTAGCGCCATTTTAAATGCAGTTCTAAATCAAAAAACAAAAACCGATGTGCACAAACTTCAATGTATCTTCTTTTGTTCTCCATCTATTATAGTCTCGGAACCTTTGTTTCGAAACCAAAGCTCCTAAAATTTCAATCAAAGGGGGGATAACTCGTGAGCAGAAAGGAATTTCTGAAATGTACTAATATTCAAAAAATGTTTTGTAAAATCTAAACGGCCTGAAAATTTGAACAAAATCCGTGGAGAAATAAGGAAGATATGAAGCTTCAAAGTCGGCGTCTAGGAAAAAAACGTAATAAGAATAATCTATGGTCGTTTGTGCGTACAAACGTACGCCTGGCTACGCAATGTCCGCAAATCGCTTCATGTTTCACCCGATATCATACCGCATTTTCACTAAATAGGCCTGACTCGGAAAAAAAAATATGCAACCCCATTCAGAATCAAATGCTTGTCCCCTAATAACTTGCAACGGAGATGTTTTCTCCCTCTCTTTTGATCTTTTTTTCTTCCTTCTTTTTTCGTATGATTATACCACGTGACTGGTCAGTATGCGTAACGGAAGAGTTCATTATTGTGTTGTCCTAACTGTGTGAACTAAGAGACCTTAGAGCTTGTTTAATAATTTTGTAACATTGAGTAGGCTAATGCATATTTTTAATAAAAATAGGAAAACATATTTAAAACCTCGATTATAAAGATTTATTTATTTCACTGTCAATGGGATCGCCCTATTCCACATTTCTAACTGTTTACTATGACGTAAGTGGTCATCTATTTTCAGTTTTTATGAGATTATAGATAACGTTTCGGCGGTTTCAGTGATGGCGGAAGGGGGATTCTGCGATTTTTCACCCGGTGTAGACGGCAGTATTTTATCTCAAATGTACCACGAACGTGCAGGGGCTCAAAATTTCGGTAAGGAATACACATACACACACAATAGCTTCCATGCGCCTGTCCTTGGCTTGACCAGTCCGGCAGCCATGTTGGATCATGGATAGTAAACATTAGATGTAACTGTTATATAGCATTCAGTTACTGATCATTATATAATAACTTTATGCAAAAATATACACAACTGGAAGATTGTGACAACGTAGATTTTTTCTGTCAATAATGAGGTTGCTGTACTTGTCACAGGTTTAGTGGAGATTACCAGTTCTGTATTTATGATTTTATCAAAATCTGTTACTTTTGAATCATGCAAAACTAATCTCAGCGAGAATCTCGCTGAGATTAATGCAAAACATGATCAAATCTTCTGGCTCTGGTTTTTGGTTCTGCCTGGAACTGTCCACAATCATCTTGTTGATTATATCGGAAGGTGGTGGTGCGCATGATAAGTAAAATATTAAAGATTAAAATAGCAGTCCATCGGCATAATCATGTTATTCAGTTCGCGAATTAAGTTTGATGTTGTACACGTTAACCTCATTACATTTATAAAACTGATTTTAATGATAAAAAGCATTAAAAAAAATGATAAAGAGCATTATACAGTTGGACAAGACTCAGATTGACTTTTCACAGAAAGCGAATAAAATGAGTATTTAAAGTGAGGCAAGACTCTTAAATTGACTTTTCACAGAAAGCAAATTGAATAACATGAGTATATATATACAGAGGCAACATTCTAAACGTCTCTGAAAGGGGAGGTTTTCCCCAGAAAAGGATTTCTTTTGGGGGTCATACAGATATATAGCTGCAGATATGTAGCTCGCTGGTCTGAAAAAAATTTGGATGGAGGACCAGAGAGCTACAGTGCCACCCATTGAAAAAAGTGTGTATTTATTGCGCACAAAAAAGTGCGCTGTTTCTCGATTTATTTTCAGTGTATATAAAAATATTACTAATCTTGTGTTCTTAACATATTTTTTTTACTACTTCCACAACAAAACTATGTACAAGTCATGTACAAAGCGCGTTGGACCAAATTGTCTTGCCACTCAAAATGGCAGTATAAATAGGTGAAATTTTCAATGGTCTGAATTTCAGACCCAGGAGGGCTCTCTACAATGGTTTGGGGAAATGTGTCATTGTGGAAGTAGTGAAAAAATATGTTAGGAATGCACGGTTTGTAATATTTTGAGTTGCAGCTTAAATATATAGTGAAACAAATTGAGAAACAGCACTCTTTTTTGTGCGCAAAAAAATTTACACTTTTTAGCTCACCTGAGCTGAAGGCTCAAGTGAGCTTTTCTGATCAAAATTTGTCCGTTGTCTGTCGTCGTTGGCGTTGTTGTCATTGTAAACTTTTCACAATTTCATCTTCTTCTCCAGAACTACTGGGCCAATTTCAACCAAACTTGGCACAGAGTATCTTTGGGTGAAGGGGGTTCAAGTTTGTTCAAATGAAGGGCCACGCCTTCTTCCAAGGGGAGATAATCATGAAATCATGAAAAATTAATGGCATCATTTAAAAATCTTCTTCTCAAGAACCACTGTGCTTGAAAATATGAAACTTATATGGAAGCATCCTCAGGTAGTGTAGATTCAAGTTTGTTCAAATCATGACCCCTGGGGGTAGGGTGGGGCCACAATGGGCGATCAAAGTTTTACATAGGAATATATAGGAAAATTCTTTAAAAATCTTCTTCTCAAGAACAGCAAAGCCATGATTGGTTATATTTATTTGGAAGCATCCTCAGGTAGTGTAGATTCAAGTTTGTTCCAATCATGACCCCCAGGGGTAGGGTGGGGCCACAATGGGCGATCAAAGTTTTACATAGGAATATATAGGAAAACTCTTTAAAAATCTTCTTCTCAAGAACAAAAAAGCCATGATTCAGGGCTCGACATTAATTTTTTTCCCTACTTGTCCAATCGGACAAGTGACCAAGACATTTACTTGTCTGAACTTCAACTTCACTGGTCTGAAATTTGTTCAATAAAGATACAATACTGTCAACTTGAAAACTAATATAAGTCCATTACATGTGATTCATTCGTGATGTTATTGATAAATACAACAAACACATAAAAACAAACTTTTATCTAGACTTTCTATCCTGACAACAACATAAATGTTCACAAACATCAAACAGAACCTAAACTTCGTAACTCGATGTAACTTCATGCCCTCCTTTGCAGTAGTATGCAATTAGTGAACTTCGATCACGATCGAGTGTGAACTCAATTACATAGCGATCCATATCGGGATCAAAGTTCGTTTTTTTATGTACTGCTTACGTCTTTACCGATGAACTTTCAATAGTCGTTCTTTTTATTATTTGAAGACTTCTTTATATTAAAATGCACTTGTCCAATCGGACAAGTGCCCAGCAATATTCACTTGTCCGTAATTTTTTTTCGCTGGTACCGGACAAGCGGACAAGCGTTAATGTCGAGCCCTGTGATTGGTCATATTTATATGGAAACATCCTCAGGTAGTGTAGATTCAAGTTTGTTCCAATCATGACCCCGGGGGTAGGGTGGGGCCACAATGGGCGATCTAAGTTTTACATAGGAATATATAGGAAAACTCTTTAAAAATCTTCTTCTCAAGAACAGCAAAGCCATGATTGGTCATATTTATATGGAAGCATCCTCAGGTAGTGTAGATTCAAGTTTGTTCCAATCATGACCCCCGGGGGTAGGGTGGAGCCACAATGGGCGATCCAAGTTTTAAATAAGAATACATAGGAAAAATCTGTAAAAATCTTTTTCACAAGAATAACAAAGCCATGATTGGTCATATTTACATGGAAGCATCCTCAAGTAGTGCAGGTTCAAGTTTGTTCCAATCATGACCCCCGGGGGTAAGGTAGAGCCACAATGGGTGATCAAAGTTTTACATAAAATACATAAGAAAAATCTGTAAAAATCTTTTTCTCAAGAACAGCAAAGCCATGATTGTTTTTTTTTTATGGGTGCATCCTCAGGAAGTGTAGATTCAAGTTTGTTTAAATCATGACCCCCCAGGGGTAGGGTGGGGCCACAATGGGCGATCAAAGTTTTACATAGGAATACATAGGAAAAAGCAAGCCTTTTGAAATCTTCCTCTGAAGAACAGCAAAGCAATAATTAGAGTCATATTTAAATGCAAGCATCCTCAGGTAATGTAGATTCAAATTTTGTTCAAATCATGACCCCCCCCCCCCCCCCCCCCCCAGGAGAATAGAGGGGCCATAACATGGGATCATAGTTATACAAAGGAATACAAATGATATATCAATAAAAATTGTCTTCTTAAGAACAGCATAGCCATTATTTGTCATATTAATTCAAAAGCATCCCTTTGAAGTATAGATTCAAGTTCAAATTACCCCCCCCCCCCCCCCCCGAACCACTTTTATATCAAAACTTTTCAAGACTCAACTGATTTCTGCTTTTTCCTAGCCACAGTGCTCAGGTGAGCGATGTGGCCCCTGGGCCTCTTGTTTCAATGGGTGGCACTGTAGCTCTCTGGTCCTCCATCTGAATTTTTTTTCAGACCAGCGAGCTACAGATCTGCAGCTAATACAGATATACAGGACTTATCGCATGTTTCTTAATTATTTGAAATTAAAAGCGTAAAACGTTCCTTATGACCACAGTTTATAAATTTTGTGTTTTTGCTCCAGATAAACCGCTGTAATTAACCAATTATTGACTCAAATGAAAACCCCTGAATTAAAAATCTAAGTTAATTAGATAGTGATCACGTGACCCTGTGACGTCAAAGGCGACAATAGCTGATCAGCTCTATAGTTAATCTTACTATATTCAACATGAATATTCTGCATTGTGGACGACCACATCATTGATTTTATCGATATGAAATTGAATATCCAACCTTATATTTTAGAATTGTCAGCAAGAAAAAATCTGAAAAATCTGTTAACATTGTAAAAATAGCAGCGACGATATCGAAGGAGACGCGGCGAAGACAAAGAAACTCACCATCACAATACAATTTGATTTGTCATGTTATCACATGTATTAACTTAATTGATTTACAAATTTAATATTGTATAACTTTATTATTCATCGTTTTTAGCATAACATTAATTTACTTATGTTTTGTAAAGGATGACAGTCTTGAAAAATAATTTTCCGATCACGAAACATTGCCTTAATCGGAGTTGTACAGATTCTGAATGTTTCGAATAAAAATCGAAAATATCTCAAAAGCCTTATACCTTAGAGCTAGTTAATGTTTCTATAGTAATTAAAAAGCACGCTAGGAATTAATTTTTTCAGCATTTTTCGTAATTAAGCTGCATATGTCGTTGATAACTCCGCAAATAGTGTGCGTATTCTCATCTCTCTATCACTGAATTGTCGCCTATGACGTCAGAGCAGTATTTCGCCGAAATCCGACTGAAATATGCATATTGCCGTATTTGAATTTCAACTCTCAATATCTCTTAAAATATGCTTCCAATAATGTTTATTGTATTAAAGGACTTATCGCATGATTTCTCAGAAATCTTAATTTTATGAAAAATATTATCTACAACCTTGTTTATTAAAATTCTGAATACAATAAACGTTGTTGAAAGCGTATTTTAATAGATATTGAGAGTTGAAATTCAAATACGGCAATATGCATATTTCAGTCGGATTTCGGCGAATTACTGCTCTGACGTCATAGGCAACAATTCAGTGATAGAGAGATGAGAAGTTAGACACTATTTACGGAGTTATCAACGACAAATGCAGCTTATTATGAAAAAATGCTGATAAAATTAATTCCTAATGTGATTTTCAATTACTATAGAAACATTAACTAGTTCTAAGGTGTAAGAATTTTGAGATATTTTCGTTTTTTTATTCGAAACATTTAGAATCTGTAGGTCTGATTACGGCAATGTTTCGTGATCGGAAAATTATTTTTCAAGACCGCCATCCTTTACAAAACATATGAAGGCATACTTGCTTGAATTAATATTATGTTAAAAACGAAGAATAACAAAGTTATGTAATTTGAATTT